CCAGGAGGGCCATCCCATTGCCTTTTTTAGTGAGAAGCTCAATGATGCCAAGCTCAGATATTCTACCTATGATAAGGAATTCTATGCAATTGTCCGAGCTCTTCAATATTGGAGTCATTATCTCCTAAATAAAGAGTTCATACTTTTTTCGGACCACGAGGCTCTCAAGTATTTGAATTCCCAGCAGAAGATCAGCCGCAGACATGCTCGTTGGAGTGAACTCTTACAGTCTTATCCATTCCTTATCAAACATAAGGCTGGAACTCTGAACTCCGTAGTAGATGCCCTTAGTCGTCGCCATGTACTACTTACAACACTACAAACCAAGGTTGTTGGATTTGACCTTGTCAAAGAGTTATATCAAGATGATCCTGATTTCCGAGGAGTGTGGGAAGCAACTATAAATCAACCTTTGCACCAGTTCTATAGACACGACGGGTTTTTATTTCGAGGTAAAACCCTCTGTATTCCACAGGGTTCCTTGAGAGAAGCCATAATTTGGGAAGCACATGATGGTGGATTAGCTGGACATTTTGGACGAGATAAGACACTTAACCTAGTGAAGGAGAACTTTTACTGGCCTCGACTTGAACGGGATGTCAACAGGCATATACAAAGATGCAGAATTTGTCACTTGGCTAAATCCAAGGGTCAGAATACTGGACTATACATGCCTCTGCCAATTCCAGAAGCACCTTGGGAAGATATAACTATGGATTTTGTTCTGGGTTTACCACGGACTCAGAGGCAAAAAGATTCTGTCATGGTAGTTGTGGATCGCTTCTCAAAAATGGCCCATTTCATCCCATGCCAGAAGACCAACGATGCTGTTCAAGTAGCCGACTTGTATTTTAAGGAGATTGTGCGTCTTCATGGCATTCCTAGAACTATCACTTCTGACCGTGATGTGAAGTTTCTTAGCCACTTTTAGCGGACGTTATGGAAGAAGATGGGAACTAAGCTACAGTTTAGCAGCGCTAGTCACCCCCAGACAGACGGTCAAACTGAAGCTATAAATAGGATTCTTGGTAATCTTCTTCGCAGTTTCGTAGGGAAGAATTTGAAGCAGTGGGATCTTATTCTTGCTCAAGTTGAGTTTGCTTAAAATAACAAGCAACTGGGAAGTGTCCGTTTGAAGTTGTTTATGGCACTCGTCCCCTTAGTCCACTAGACTTGACCCCTTCACTTGATAAGCAGCAATATAGCTTTGATGCTGACCAAAGGGCTAAGGAAATTAAGAAGTTGCATGAGCAAGTTCGCGAGCGAATCCAAAAGCAGAATTTGAGATACAAGGCTCAACGTGACAAACATCGAAGACAGTAGACTTTTAAGGTAGGAGACTTGGTTTGGATACATCTACGAAAGGAACGATTTCCTAAACAACCAAACGCCAAGTTGTCCCCAAGAGCTGATGGTCCGTTCAAGATAGTGCAAAGGATCAACAACAACGCTTATAAAGTGGAATTACCTGGTTCTTATGGTGTATCTGCCACCTTCAATGTTGCTGATCTATCCCCTTACATTGACGATGATGCCGAATTTGACTCGAGGGCGAGTTCTGCTGAACCCGAGAAGGATGAAACGGACTGAAACGGCAACAGAACTAATACACGAGAGTTACAGAATTGAAGCCAAACGTGTTCCGTTACCCTTCATTAAGCCAATAAAACGTTTAGCATTTACATTTGTAACGTTAGCTGATTACTGTTTTCGTTCAGGGTCCTAACACTATAAATAGGACACTCACTTTGTTGTAAGGAGGCAGACTAGAAATAAAATTCAGAGTTTTCTCTTTTCATTCGGTTTCTGTGCCAAGAAAGAACTACTATTTTGAGGGGGATGACTTGCTGAAATAAAATAAGGGGAATCTTAGGTTTGAAAATCTTGAGGAACCTGAAAGCACATTTTCAGTAAAATGTACTTCAATGTTTCTTATAGAATACTGGTTCAATTAAATTTTGAAGTGCACTAAGAACTATATGTGTTCAATTAATTCCATTAAGAATCAAGCTTAGGGATCTTATGTAATGTAAATTTTGTTCAAATTTTCTAAAGAATATGGGTATAAATATGTGTTTGAATTCATACAATTCTATTGAATATCTTCCCATTAGAAGACATTGTTACCTTTTTCTGTTAGTATTTTTTTGGGAACATTACGTGAAAAATTTCTTGTATCTTAAAATTAAGTATATATCTAAAAAAACTTTCATCGTATCTAACAAGACAACTTTATTACTTTTTTTTTTTATATCCAAAGTCCAAACTTCTAATTTCTTGTCTGTAGCCTCTTGTCTCAAGTTATAATTTGACGGTGATGCCTTTGTTTCAAGTCATATGATGAATAAAATTTGATATAGGTATCGGTTATCATATTTGTCCTACTATTTCTTGAGGTCTGAAACATTTCAGCATAGACTTTCAAAATTATAAAGACATGTCGAGGCCGCAATGGATATGTGAAAAATGCAATGATATATATATTTTTTTACAATGTTATAGTTATGAATTCAGCAAACAATAATGAAAGTTTGGTTCGCTATATAACATTTTACAATGATTATTGTTGTGAATCAATTAGAGTTTATATTTGTATTATTGAATTTTATTGAATCATAGGAATTCATGATGGCAATGACAAATTTTTCCTCATTAATTTATTTCAGATGGAGATATGCTCTAAAATATGCCAAATTGGTTTCATAGTATTATAATACATGCATTACTACAGAAATCGAAATTAGTAGTATGCATTTTGTAACGATAAAAAAAAATGCCACCACTAATACATTATTCTTTTTATTTATAATTTTAGTATATAATAATAGGTGGCATTTCTTTAAAAAATATGCCACAGCTTTTAGTAAATAATATTATTAGTGGCATTTCAGTAATAAAAGGCTACCTTTCTAATTTGTCCTGCATTAAATTTTTTTAGATTATATAATAATTTTAATATAATTATTTAATTGTCATTAATAATAAATATTTATTTTTAATTAATTAATTAAAATCAGAGAGGTGGCATTTGAGACGTTTGAAAATGCCACAAATGGGCTTCACTATAGTTGGAATCTTGGAATTAGGAAAATTAATGTTATTTATGACTGTATTAATGCCTTAAGTTTGATTTTGAGAGATTCCTAACTGAATCACCTTTATTGGGACATTATTCAGGAAGCTAGAATGATTATAGGTAGAGATTACGTTGTTAACATTAAGTTTAAGCCTAGGATATTTGTCAAAAAGGATGGTGCTTTTACTAAGTTTGCTCAGAATATAATTTTAGAGGAATATTTCTTTAACCATCCTCCCTCCTTTATTCAAGAAGAGGAGGAAGGGGAGAGAAATGGCTATATAGGGGTGTTTTGAGTTTGTAATATCTAGTTATGAATGAATCATCCTTTTAATTAAAAAAAAACGCCACAAGTCTACTCATTACAAAAAAGATATTCCAATTAATAAATTAAAATAAGAGAGGTGGCATTTCAAATCTTTAAAATGCCACCTCTATATATCTCTGTTTTTATCATATTAAAATATTATTATATTACAATTTAATTAATTAGTATATTCAATTAATCATGTATTGATTATTTCATAAATAATGATAGAGAGATGGCATTTTTAGCTCCTAGTTAGATACTATATTTTATTGAATGACCAATTATTATTTTGTTAAATATATAGTTAGTAATTTTATTTTAATTAATTAAAATTTTTTTATGATATTTTATTTTTAATATGTAATAGGAGAGAAGTGATGTTTGTACCTATTAAAAACGCCAACTCTCTAATGATTATAAAATATTTTTCCAATAAATAGAAAGTGATATTTTTTTTATTTATTTAAATTTTATTATTTTTTTATATTGTGAATTATGAATTATATATGATTAAGTATTTATATAATATAATTAATTATTTAATAATTAATTATATTATTTTATTATATATATAATAATTTATTTAATTTTATTTATTAATTTTTTTAAATTGAGTTAGAGAGGTGGCATTTTCAGGAATTGAAAACGCCACCTCTCTTATAGCTTTATTAAAACTATTTTTACAGTCTAACAGAGGTGGTGATTGGTCCTCAAAAATCACCACCTTTGTCTGTTGTAATTTTTACAAAAATTTGACAACATCTTTTATTTTATTTAACACTTAATAATGTTATTTAATTTTATTAAAGATAATAAACAATTAAAATATATATAACCAGTATTAATTATTATATTTCATAATAATGATTTAACTATATTTTAATTATTTAATATTTTAATTGTATAGTTTCTAAGAAATGAAGAACTTTGATACTTTATTTTATTTAATGACCAATTATTATTTTATTAAATATATAGTTATTAACTTTATTTCAATTAATTAAAGAAATTTTAGTATATTTTATTTTTAATATGTAATAGGAGAGAGGTGGCATTTTTTTTTATTAAAAGCGTCACCACTCTAATGATTATTAAATTATTTTTTCTAATAAAAAGGAAGTGATATTTTTTATTATTTATTTAAATTTTTTTATTATTTTATGTTGTGAATAATGAATTATATACGATTAAGTATTAAAATAATAAAATTATATAATTTAATAATCAATTATATTATTTTATTAGATATATAATTATTTTTCAATAATCCTTATCAATTTGGGAAGTCCCCGTGAACAGTCCTTGAACAGTGTTTTTGTGCGTGTTGCCTTTGGTGGGTTTCCTTTCGCACGTCTTGCCTTTTGGCAAGCTTCCTAGAAATTTTTGGCTACCTTTTGTTTCCATTTATTTAAATCATTATTTACCTTATCAATATAGTCTTTTAAAATTTAAAAATTGGCTATGTGGGTGGTGTCATTTTGCGTGGGTTCGCCTAAGGGATTGAATTTTAAAAATTGGCTTTGTGGGCGGTGTCTTTGCACGTGGGTTTGCCTGGGGAAATATTTGGATGATCATCGTCTCTCGGTTACCACTTTCGGGGTTCACACGTTGTGAGGTTATTGGCGCAATAAGATGAATATTGTGCTGTGTTGGCTGTCTTTCATTTTTAGGCTGCCTGGAGTAGGTACTTGCTGATTTGTGGTGTCGAGTCCGTTGACCCCCGTGGTTGTTGTTAGTGTATTCTTATTTCGATTTATTGTTTTCCTTTGTGGTTTTTTCCCCCTGTTCTTCGCCGTGTCTTTCCTATTTTTTCCCCAGGTCAAGGTGTTCTCTTGGTGTGTTTCCCATTTCATGTTCTAGTTTGCTAAGGGTGATCGTGTGGTGGTTGTGCGGTGTGTGGTTCTTCTGTTATGGGTAATGGATGTCACCACATTTCGTTGTTGGGTTTGGCATGAGCATTGCATTGTTCTTTCTCATGATTCTGCTTGTTTCATGTAGGTGGGATAAATGCGGGAGATGGTTCGGTGCACGACGGTAGTGACGATGTTGAAGCCTTGGTTTCGGCAAGGAAGAGATGCCCTCTTCAAAGGCACTGTGATTTCTTCTCTGCCATGGGGTCCGAAGAATAGAATGGGGTTCAAGATGGATTGAATGGTGGGAGATTATTGTTTCGTTAGATGTATAGATTTCGTGATTCTCTTTGAGTTGGGATTATGCCTGGTGTATATTCATATGTTTCTTTTTGGTTTGTTTTCTTTTCTTTTCTTTTCTTTTATTATTATTATTATTATTATTTAATATATTTTTTTGGGTCCTTTCCATGTGACTAGAGTACTTTTTTCATGGTTATGGTACCGATGATCGATTTCGATTAAGTGGTGTGTCTCATCAAGAGGAATCTTCATGTGGCCAAGGTGATGGGTTGAGGCGTGAACATCCTCTTGAGGATATAACAAATATTGGTCAACCTCAGCTATGATTTGTTTTTTTTCCCTCTTGTGTGGCATTTGCCTTCTCTTGTGTTGTTGATTTGATTCATATTGTTGGGTATTGGAAAGTAAGGGGCATTGCAAGTTAAAGGGTATTTGAGGGCGATATGTTGTAGGTAGAACCGTTAATCAAAATTTATCTTCAAGGTTATTTAGGTTTTATCCTAAAAGTCATATAGTTTTTGTTGTTTGTTAACTTTTATGTTTGGGGATTGTTATTCTATTACATGTCAGTGTGTTTATTTGCCACGATTTACAAGTTTTTGGTTGTTTGTTTGATTTTTTTTCTGCATACTATAGTTTATTTTTTGTCAGTGAGTAGAGAAACTTTGGGTTCATTTTTTCTTTTGTAAATATTTTAGGTTAGTTAGCATAGCTTTCTTGGTTTCTTTTCTCGGGTGATGCGTTGGTACCTCATTTCATGAATTTGTCTACTTTAAGTATTTTACTCATGCTTTGTTTTCATTTGGGTTGTTGTTATGCAGTGGAGGACGTGTAGGTGAAGGTCATGATTCAAGCAAGGCTCTGTCAGTAGTGCCCCTTGAGGAGGAATCAAGTACGCTGTCTGTATCTCTATTTGAATTTGGTTTTTAATGTTGAAACTTGTTGAGCATGTTTCGTTTTGCTCTTTGACTTTGCTCTTTTTTTTCGTTTTAGCCTAATGTTTTCCCTTATGCTATCTCTCTCCTTTTTTTATTTTTTTTATTTTCTACTTTTTGTTTATGTTTTGTATAATCAGAGGTGTGTATCTTCCACAATGTTACTGGGTGTGGTTTTTTCCATTTATAGTGTTTTGTGTTTTAATGTTACAACTAACATTACATGATGATAGTACTTGTTGTGCTTCCATTGGGTTGATGGCATTAATAGGTTATGTTGATGAAGGTGATGCAGCATGAGTGTGGATTTTGTCATGCACTACTTTGGTTTAATGAGAGGGTGAAGAAAGGTCCTCACAGAGGTCGATTGCTGTTTTCACTATGTTGCTCACAAGGGAAAGTGATGCTACCTCCTGATTCATTACCGCCCTCATATTTGCATGATTTGTATTTCAATAGAGAACTACTTGAGTGCAAGCAATTTTTATCGAATATTTGGTCATATAATAACATGTTTTCTTTGACTTCAATGGGTGGAAGAATGAGGGTTTTCTCTGGATCTGGTCCGTTCTCATATGTGTTAAGTAGTCAAAACTATCATTAGATTGGAAGTTTGTTGCTAGTAAAAGGTTTAGCTCCATTGTACTCTTAGTTGTATGTGTATGACACTGAACATGAGGTGGCTAATTGAATGGCTGTTGTCAGGTAATTCATTTTGTCACTGCTTCTTGATTTCATTGCATCAATTGGATTTTTTTTAGATTTGTTTGTTTTCCATTATCATTTTCTTGATTATACTGGTCATGTTGCATAGTGCAAATGGTTATGTGTCAAATCTTGATTATCGCATTGTGCAAAATTTGATGAGGATGTTTAATGAGTATAATGTGTTAGTCAAGATGTATCGACTGGCTTTTGAAATGGTTAAGATTAATGAATCAAGTAATATTAGGGTGCATTTGGTTAGTAAATATTCAGGTGATAGCCGAACTTATAATATGCCGTCTGCTTCAGAAGTAGTAGCATTGATTGTTGGGGATTTTGATGAGTGCTATGGTGAATGAGATGTCATTATTGAGAAAAGGTCTAGTGAACTGACTCGTATAAATGAACTTCACCCATTATACTTGCCTTTGCAATGTCCTGTGCTTTTTCCTTATGGATGTGGCCGGTATAATGATTGATTACATCACGCGAGGGCTACCTTGTCTAATCTTAATGGTTGTGTGAAAGCCATTTCCATTCAAGAGTATTTGTCATTTAAGTTAATCTGATTCTATCTTGATCTCACAGAGTAATGATGTTTTTGATCAATTATATCCTCCTAAATTCTTGAACTACATTAATTCATCAAGACTTTCTTTAGTTCGATTAGCTTTAAAGGTGGGTATGCTAGTGATACTTCTTAGAAATGATGACTAGTCAGCGGGCTTATATAATGGGACAAGATTGGTTATTTGTCATCTTGGATGACATGCGATTAAAGCTAAAATACTAAATGGATCAAATAAAGGTGACATGGTGCTAATACATAGAATGGATTTAAATCTATCTGATAGCAAGTTACCATTTAAGTTGAAACGTCATCAGTTTCCTTTGGTACAATCATTTGCTATGACAATTAATAAAAGTCAAGGACAATCATTGGAAATGTTAGTATTTACCTATCAAGTCCTGTATTTACTCATGGGCAGTTATATGTTGCTTTGTCTTACGTAGATGGGTTGAAGGTGTTGATACATAATTCAAGGAACCAATCTTTGTCTCACACAAACAATGTGGTTTTTAAGAAAGTGTTTTCCAATTTGAGCGTGGATAAGGAATGATTATTGCGATATAGATATAAGGTTAACATGTCCAAATATTACGGACAAACATTATCAATTCTCTATTTTTGGGTTGTTGGTAGCAAGGTTATGTTTAAGATTTTTGATTCTATTTTCATATCTTTTTCTCCACTATTTGGAATTTAATGGCAAGTTTAACTCTTTCATGCTTTTTTTAGGACTATAATATATTAAGTTGTTGTTACTTTGATGTCTTCATTTCATCAATTTTGTTCTACTATACATTTAATTCTCTTTAAGTTGTTATTACTTCCTAAATTGATGTCTTCATTTGATGTCTTCATTGTATATGATTTAAATTGCATGGGTTTGGGGAGAGGAAAGGAAACAAAAATGTGCGCCACACATCTATCTATTTACATATGTGTATGTTGAGGTGAGCATGTTTTGATGACACTGGTGACTCATTAAAAAGAGTTGAACTTTAGGAGTAACTATAAACTTTTTGTGTTCAATAGTCCACATATTTTCCATGTCACAAAATTAAGCAATTCTACACTAAGGTATTCATACTCATGTTTCTATACAAAGATAATCTTGGTAGCTTCCCAAGATATTAGGAACCTTGACCATAGCTAAAATGATTGAGAGGTTTCTGTTTCATGGATGGATAATCAGCCACTATACAATGTCTTTATGCATATTGTTGAGCTAGTCCTGTGGGTAGAGAAACTTATGAGTATGTGCTTTTCGTTCTGTGACTGTGTCTCAGAAAATATAGTAACAATATATTAATAATAAAATGGAGAACAAAAGAAAGTGAAGTGAATGGTTACATATTGTAGTAAATGTCAGAACAGTTTTTCCTCCTCATTCTTTCTTAGGTTTATTATCCTAATATCGGAGCTAATAGATGACATACAATCCACAAGAGTGTCTGCGTAAACTAACCTAAAGTTATTTGATTCGTTAGTATGTACTCTAAGTCAATTTTACTAGGAAAACCTAAACTTACAAATCTGGTTAGGTTAGCATCTTCACAAGGTGCACTATTAAGTCATCCTTATCTTCACAGATGTGAGGTTTAAGTGTCTTCATTATGTCTAGAAATTTCATTTTCTGTATGAAAATAGTGTTAAATATTACAATTACTATTAAATTGACATTGCATATATAGACTATGGGAACATACCGCTACTTGAACCATGTTGACTGTATCATTTAGGATATATTGTCTAGTTGAGTGTGACAAATCCACTAAATAGTCCACTGCCTGCCGGTGATGAGAATACATTCTATCTCCCATGGAATCCAACACATACAGTCACCATGTGTTAGGTTGAGTGCATAACATAACCAATGTTTGTTGATGATCATAGGTGCAAAAATGAACTCACACTTTGCTATATCATAGCCCAAAATGGAACATGTAAATTTATCTGTGTTGGTTACTATCTATCATCAAATTCAACATGTTATCTTCCATTAATCAAGTTTTGCATTATGTCTAGGTATCATACTTCCATTGCTCGTCAGTTCTTAATTCTTTTTATGACAACCGCTAACAATAAATATAATTAAATTTATCTTAATTTACATGCATACCAATTTGTTTAGATCCATGATATATCTCCATACATGGCTATGTCTGTCTTTTTGCTCCTCCATTAAAACTCTCCCAACCATTGTTATTACTTGCAGAAAATAATTTCTTCCTTTTAGTTTGTGATGCATAAGCATGATGTTGTGGTTATAAATATTTGTATACCGTGATATTTAACCATTTTTGCGGTCCAAGACTCTAGCATTCCTTTCTCGTCATGTAATACCTTTAGATATCTATAATTGTTCTACATAAAAGGTCATTCATTAGTTAAAAACCTCACATGATTGTGCTTATCAAGATCAAAAACATACCTGTCACTATCTTTTGGTATCATTCTGGCTATATAGTATTGATAAATACGCTCATAAAAAATTGCATATTTTGCATAGGTTGTATTTTTGTCATTTTATCTGCCATTTTCTCATTTTCACATATTGATACTAGTTTGTATGGAGATTCATTGTGTGGTTCTGTCTGTGCCAGTTGCTGTTGCACTTGTCTTTCTTATGTGTCTCTTATCTTGAAATATCCAAGTTCAGTACATGCATCAGAATAAGTGTTGTATCTCTATTATATTATCTGCCTTTTGTTTTTGTTGTCTTGGGGACTATTAGTAATGTCATATTGTAGTAATGAAATACTCAACTTCGATAGATTTGTAAGAATGCAGACTCTGTTCTCTCTTTTTTGTTCTTAAACCACCATACCTCACTGTTGGTAGGGATGGCTAGCACTATTTCTTTTCTTAATGGTGTAGTCTACTTCCTTCCCTCAAGTATTTCTACCATGTCATCTAAAGGTTGTTTTCTTTTTCTAATATCACCTGTTCCCTGTTTAAGTTGTCTTTTTTGACATGACTGGATTTTTTTACCATCCTTCTTATTATTTTTTCCATCTTTCAAGTTCACCCTTGCTACATTCTCCTGGCTTCGTGTCCCTACTATTGTATGTTTTTGTGCTACATTTTTCACAATCTCATGTTCTTTGTAATTATTTTACCATTATCTACATCTGGTGCTCCTTTTGTTTTCCTTTTTATTATTCATTAGATGGTTGTTCTTGGCTAATGTCCTCCATTTCTGCCTATAATTGTTCATGCGGTCCTTGTCCATGCAAATCCAAGTGCAGTAATTCCTCATAAATTTCATAAGTAAATTTTATCACCTTAGCATACAAACTCCTAATGACCTGTTTCATTTTTGGCAAAGAAACAAGTTACTGTGGTTTAACTACTAACCAATTGCACATTGATACATAGCTATTCAATGCATATATATCTCTAGTTACTAGATAGCGTTGAAAGTGGTGGAATATCCATGCTAAGGTGCTTGACGTTACAATCTATCTTATAGGTAAATTTTATTATAGAATGTCATCTACCTAGTATTTGAAGTCGAAGAGAACATATTAATCATGCAATTCCATTGGATGGAATATCTATTGTAGGCAAATTTGATATAACCAACTCATTCACAACGACAAAAGCATTCTTTAACCTTGATATTGCTAATGCTAAGGAACTACGCATGAGGTATAGTTTGATTAAGTATTGGTTACTTTTATTA